AAATCTTATATTATTTTCATCTTTTCTTCACAGTTCCCCTCACTTTTGCTACTGATGCGTAAATAATGACAATCACTCAAAAATGACAATGACCATTACGACTCAGTTGAGAAACTTTGAAACTGTTTTTTTGTTACACTTAAAATGCAGAATGTCTTAAAATCATGAAAGTGCTGAAGTGCCTATAAAGCCTTAATATTCTTCAGTCCAAGTACTTATTTGCCATTTCTGCAAGCATATTCACTGGAAACCTCATAATTTAGTCAGACATGATACACTGGCTGCAGTTTTCACACAGGCACTTACACATATAAACCCAGATCCTACAAAGTAGAGACACTGTATAAAACAGGTAAAAACAGAACACAAAGATTTACAAATCTCATAACCTCATATTGTATTTATAAGAGGACATATAAAACAAAGAAACAAAAAAAAAAGCTTAAATTGACTAAATGTACCCTTTTAGGATAAAAACCCCCATCTCGGTAGAGAGAAATGCATCCAGACTAGAGATGGCACGATACCACTTTTTTATGTCCGATACCAATATCATAAATTTGGATATCAGCCGATACCGATATGAATCCAACATAGTGTGTTTTTTAATCAATAAAACTGTTTTTTTAATATCTTGCTGCTTTTTGTATAAGTAAGTTCATACTCAAGTTAAAAAAAAACAACCCTAAAGCTATTCTGTTATACCTGTATGCAAAAAATACACTGCACCCAAAATATTTCATAGTTCAGCAATACTGATCAATTTAATAAATTTAAACCTACTCCATCATCCCTATTCTGGTATTTTAAAGAGTAAGCAACCTAACTAATAGGGCTCTAAAACTCCCAGCAAAAAAATTAAAAATAGGGAACCACCGACCCTCCACCTCATGATGCTTAATTGATGTAATCAACTTTAATTTGATGCAGGGTGAAAAAATGCCCAGAAATAAATTATTTTTCAAGAATAATTAAATAGATTCAACATCTTTCTTCAACAGAATTGCAGACTGCACAGATGGTTCCCAAAGGAAAAAGTAGTATAGCTTACTAGGGTATATTAAACTTAATAGTTACTATATACAGTAATAGACTTCTATACATTTTACATCAGATTAAAACTTTGGGTGTAAGATTCAGATAATTATTTATTAAAAGCTAGACATTTTAAATGAGAATAAGAAAGAAAAGTATGTCTTTGTGCCCCCATTTTCCCTGTTAATGCCCTATCGGCCCCCCTGGCTAAACTTTGCTAGATCACACAGTTAGCAGCCGTCAGCTACGTAGAAAAAGATCCTAGTGTAGAAACTAATATTAAATAAATTCTAACAACAGCTTATCAAGCTTAAACGTGCTGCTGTTGTTCAGCCGCTGCTTTCCTCTTTCTGGTGCAAAGTGGACGATAGACAAGCAAGAGAGACGGACTCCCGATGCAAAAGCCGATCAGCTGATCATTGATCAGTTTCACGATTGAAGTAGCAGCAGGAGAGGGAGGGAGAAGAGGCAGTCACTCCATATATCTGTTGTTAAGCTTAACGTGGGAATGCTTTACAAACATTTAGAGATGAACTTACACATTTGCTTTACTTCTCTCTGGGATCACTTCCTCAGAGATGAAATGCCGGTTTGGTAGCGAGGCTACAAATACACACAGCCGCTCTATCACGTGATGCATACTGCTGCGACGTGCTACGGTTATGAGCCGAGTTACGCCATGTCGAAAGTTTTGTAAGGTGCTTTTTTGATATTTAATGGATTGGATTACATTTTATATTTCTCTCCGATATCCGATCCAGTAATTTACATCAGTATCGGACCGATACCGATACGTAATATCGGATCGGTCCATCTCTAATCCAGACACTTTTGAACAGAACAGGAAATAGATGGCAGTTGTCTCATTTCAATCAGTAGATGAACTGGCAAATATTTATATTGCATTGACTCACACACGCGCGCACACACACACACACACACACATACACACACACACACACAGACACACACACTAGATGTGTGGTGGAAATACCTACATGCTATCATAGAAGTAATGTAGGGTTTTTTTTGGCAGTATCATATAACACGAATCAACAGTGGTTCAGTAATGTGATCCTTGCAAATGCTGCAAACATAGCTGAAGTGTGGATCAAGGGCTCGAGCTTGTTGTCTCTAGTTGCTATTGTGGCTCCTGTCCTTTAGCTATTGGTTGCAGCTTTTTTTGTTTTGCCCTTCTTCAATCCTTCAGCACTGTGACGCCAAACTGTGATGATTAGTGTCGTTCCCCTGATGTTCAGGTCCCATCTGCAAACAGGACCTGCTGAGATGCTGGGGGACATCTGGTCACCTGATGTTCGTGTCGATCGAGATAGGCTCCAATCGACACTGACAGGAGGTGGAGAGGCATGCTCTGAGAGCTGGCTTGTTTAAGCACAGTTACGTTAGCGACTACTTGTTGTAGGCAGTGAAGGTGAAATGGTTCTAGGTGATTCTTTTGATGTCCCACACTCTCTTGTTTGTCTTTTTGCTTAGTAAATGATACTATAGGCTGCTGCTGGTGACGACAGAACCCAAACAGCTAAAATAATCTGTCATTTTGTTGGTGTTCTTGATGCTGATAGCCAGCCCAGACTCACTGCAGGCATGGGCAAACTGGTTGATGAGCTGCTGAAGGTCCTCCTTAGTGTCACCTCTCTGAGTTCTCTGATGAGAACTTTAAAAGCCTTGGCCTTCAGCAGACAACCATATACGACTACCGTAGTGACCTGTAAAGGCAGCTAAACATAAGAAAATGAAAAAGAAAACAAAGTTGTGGGCAGCTGCAGTGATCATCAGATACTCATTCTGAACCCAAATGGTCATCTCAGGCCTTGAGATCCTCTAAGAAGAGGTCATGTCCAGGTTAACTGAAAATACACACAGCAAAGAGACAGGTAACCTTTTGTCTGTCTAACAATCAGACTTGCACGATTAACCTTGCCATTTCATATAAGCATCTGTGTGCTTTATACACATAAAACCACACGTAAGCCAAATATAATGTTTATCGTCATAATAATTGCATTCGAATGAACTGTCATCATTTTGTCTTTAATCCTAATATAAAGATTAACACAGATAATATAGCAGCTGTATGTTTATGGGTTTTTTTCCAGGCTGATTTGGTCCAAACTTTTTCTCTTCAGTCTGTCAGAGTGAGAGCAACATCTGTTCTCAATGATATTTTAATGATATGTTCTCTTATTTTTTTAGTCTTAATTAGTCCTTTTCTGCTTTGATGAAGACTGATGGCTGGCACGCTGAATATACATGCAGTTTTTGTTTTTGTCCTCCAAAGTGATCCGTGGCACAGAGTGAGGATGAACAGATCTCTGGCCCTCGGAGCTGCCATGTGTCCATATAGGACATGGTAGACATCCAAACACGAGCCATCTGCAGTTCAGGAGTCATCTAAGGACACATTTTAATTAAGGAGACTAATTCAGGGATGAGAAGCAGAAACATACATGGCAGCAGTCACCACCAATGCTTCATGCAGGGGACTACGTTTCAGTCATTACATTCAGAAGAAGGCTGGCCTTTAAAAATGTCACCATGTGAAGCCATTTCTGTTTCTATAAACAACTTTGGACTAATGAGATGTGTGCATGCAGCCGAGGACTTTTTAGATTGTTCCGTTGTACGCAATGTGCATGTCTCGGAGCATCTGCTAGCTTTACCGTGCAGGAAGACAAGCCTTCACCTGCAGGCTGATGTGTCCTTGATCAAGACGCTGAATTTTTAACGGCTCTGAGCGGCTGTGCAGCTCTGACCTCCCTGTGCTGCAGGCTGAGTGAAGACAGAGTTAGCTGTGGAGCTCAGCAAAGTGTCACACATCAATAAGACTGGGTTTTGCAATAATTTGGTTTTCTTTATATGAGGAGTTGGACTGTCTGTGGCTGCCAAAGGTCAAAATATGTCTCTCACAAAGAGAGGTGATAATAAAGAGAAGAAAAATCCCTGTAAGATAAAGGTCTTTTATTACTTTTTCAAACCTAGCTTTAGTGCCAGGATTTTTTTTAATGCCATTTTTGGTAATATATATTTTATAAAGGAGAAATTTGAGAGAATAAACCAGGATAAATGTAAATGGAAGCTATGACTTCATGTGACATTACACGATGCTTTACACTTATTGAAGCAAATTGCTGTTTGCTTCAGTAAGAGTGAAAGGTGCTGGAGCTATAGTAGAAAATAATAAAAGTAGTAAACACCATTTCTTGACTTCTTGTTCTGTGTGTACTGGACCTTACGTTCCTGCTAAACTAACAGCTTCCATTGAATCATGCAACAATAGCAAAATAATAGAAGACACACACTGATGGGAACAATGAATACATTTTAAGATGATGACAACAACTACAAAAACACTGCCAACCAGCTCCTTCTCCAAGGCAAGAGACAAATTACATGAGAGTTGGTGGACAGAGGGAGCATTTGGTGAGACTCCAAATAATTTTTCTTAAAATGGTCATATTGGTGGAGGTTGAGCTCTGTGACTTTTCTGAGTGGCTAACTATATTTATCTCAACAAAAGCAAACAAGTGAAGCATAGATCTAGTTCAGGACAGTTTATACCATCCTGTTAATTCAAATGGCTAATCTAGGGCAGCGGTCCCCAACCCCCGGGCCTCGGACCGGTACCGGTCCGTGAGTCGTTTGGTACCAGGCCGCGAGAGTTGAGGCTCCGGTGTGAAATATT